ACTGTACATTACACCAAGGTGTTTATTGTCTGAGCTGTTTATGATTTGCTAAGAAGTCACCAACTACTTCAATCCAGTTTATCGATCCTTAGATGTGGAGGCTGCATTGGTTTTTCTTTTTTTCAGGATTTTTTTTATGTCACCTGGTAATCCTGCCGATAACATGCGTATTTAATATATCAGTTCAGGAAGTTACAAGGACACTGGATTTTCTGGCAGGATCAACAAGCACTTCCAGAAATGGAACTTAGTTATAAAAAAAGATAACTAATACAGCCATCACATCCAAGGACTGGTAATCTGCAATATATTACATTTATGTTCTGAGGTTTACATATCCTGTAAGACGTATTTTGTGGGTACAAGGACTGCAGCTTCTGTGTGCGGTGTATACTGCAAGTAGGCTCACACTCTATGTAACTGAGTCATGGCAAACATTCAGTGCAATGTAGTTACACCCACTACACGGCACTCTGCACATGCTCAGTATCATCAACACGTCAAGGTTTCCCTCTTCCTTAAAGTGATTCTAAAGGTTGTAATATAAAAAAATAACAAACATGTTATACATGGCGAAATGTACAAACTTCCTGCTAAATTCCTACTAAATATAAAATCTAAAACTGTAAAATGTTAATAAATTACAAATATTTGTATTTTTTAAATCGCGCCTTTTTGTGAAAATGGTGAATTCTGAAGGTGCGCAAAACTGTAAATTGTAAGAATTCACTTTAAAAATCTGATATTTACCATTTTTTGCTTACAGCTTTCAGAGTTTTTAAAAGACCCCCCAAGCCATACATTTTCTGAAAGCACATGACCTTTTGAATAAAAGGAAGGTGCTAATGATTTTTTAGTCCCCGCAATATTAGCGCAAATGTTCATCAAATCACTATTTCACAACAAAAAATACACACTAAAATCAGTACAGCTTACAGAGCTTTCAGAGTTTGGAAAAGACCCCCCCAAACCATATATTCTGAAAGAAAGCACATGACCTGCAGAATAAAATAAATGTGCTACTGATTTTTTAGGGCCTCAATAGTTGCACAAATGTTCACCAAATCACTATTTTCATTACTAGCGCACACAAACACAACATAACTTACACAATTCCTGCTAAATTGCTACTAAGTCCTCATTCACATGGGGCATACTAAGGTGTACACCAATGGAAGAGCCGTGTTTACCCAAACGGGGATGCACAGGTGTACCATGCATCCCATGCAGGCAGTCTTATTCATGTAAAATGGGATACAATGACTGCACGGGCACAGCCACTGCTCCCAATCTGACATCCATGTGGGTGCACGACCCCAAATTCAGATGGTGTAAGCACAGGGGAATGAACCCAAACTCATATAGATGTCAAATTAGGAGCAATGGCTTTTTTGTGCAGTGTCTACAACCCTAATGACATCAATGGGACTGCATGCATAAAGGTTTACACAACATCTGCACATCCCTTGTGCAGGTAAACAGGCCTTGCAGGGCTTTATTATGTTTTTTTTCTATATTTTGTATTTTTATGGGTGGGGCTTTAATGAGATATCAGAGGTCTAAACAGACCCCTGATGTCTCTTTTTTGACAGACAGTCCCTTTCTCCACAGCCTGAGCTGCACACTACATGAATGAATAGGAGTCTGTATAGAGGCTCCTATTCATTCAGAAACTGAAGCATAATAGTGAAACACTATTTACTATGCTACAGTCATGAATGGACACAGTAGTAATCAGTAGTGATCGCTCACTGTGCCCATTCAAGAAAAGGAAGTTGGCTGGTAAACACATGTTTAGCAACACCCCCTCCCCACTGCTCTCCATCCTGACAGCTTGTGTCCCCAAGCAGCAGCTGCAGCAGGCAGGAGGGGGAGGAGAAGGGAAGGCCAGCCAGAAGCACAGCAGGGATGGATGCTGAGGGACCATAAGGGGGGGGGGGGCATTGAGGAGGAGTCAGAGCAACAGGGGGATGTGTGAAAAATATTTGTAAAGCCTCTGTGGGTGCCCTGAAGCCAGTGAGAGAGATTGGAGAGGTTGGGAAGATGGCAGCTGGCTGGAAGAAGGAGGAATGTCAGGTCCATACAGCGTACAGACGTGGCCAGCTGGAAGCAGTGCTGTAGGTCTGTATTGGGTTTTATATCTACTTTTACAAGCCAAGTAACTATGAAGCTGCCAACAAGCTGAGATACATCCCACTACTAAGCGTATTTATTTTATATACATTGGGCTCAATTCACAAAGCAGTATCTACCATTTTAGGAACTGCAGTAAAATACTTCTTAGCGTTTTCAAAAAAAAGTTTGCAAAAAAAAAAACTCTATTAAAATTCCTCTTGAGCTATTTTATGAAGTGATGATGTATTTTAATAGTGAAAGCTAGCAGAATTTTAATGCGGATGGTAGTCAGTATCCTTAACATCAGCTAAATATCATGGTTGTTAAGGACAAGTAAATAGCGGGGTTCCCCGCTGACAACAGAATAAAAAGAAAGAATTGCTGGCATTTAATTTTTTTTTTAAAAAAAAAAATGGCTCTGGGGTTTCCCCAATCTATACCAGGCTCTTTGGATCTGGTATGGATTTTAAGGGGAACCCCATGCCAAAATGTTTCTAAAAATGGCATTGAAAAAAAAAAAATCCATACCCCCCTACAGCACCTTGTCCCCATGTTGATGAGGACAAGGGCCTCTTAGCCACAACCCTAGCCCAGTGGTTGTGAGGGGGGGGGACTGAATTATTGGCATCTGGAAGCCCCAAGATCTTGCCCCCCCATGTGAATGAGTATGGGGTACATAGTAAACACAAAAAAGGGAAAGGTAAATAAAAACACACAGACAGTTTTTGATAAGTCCTTTATTCAACCCCCTCCCCCCAACAAAAAGTCCCCCAACATCAGCGGTGACAAATGCCAGACACTGACATGAACCAAAAAAAAAAACAACCTGCACTGATGCTTGGCTCACCTGGTAACCCCGCCCCCTTATAACATCGAATGGGGAATGCTGGGTTGAGGACATCGAAAGGGGGTGTGTTCACCTGGTGATGTTATTGGGTGGCCCAGCCCCTTATTTTATTTAGTGGCAGGAGGTGGCTGAGTTGTCATTTGATGGGAGCCAAGCGTTGGTGTAGGTTGTTTTTTTTTTTTCTTTTTTTCATTTGGGTCAGTGGCCAGCATTCCTTGTGATTGACATTGGATCTACTTTAGAGGATTTTTGAGTATTTTTTTACTAAAGGACTTTTCAAAAACTGGCTGTGTTTTTTTATTTACTTTGCACTTTTTTTTGGTGAATACCCTGGTACATTCATTCACATGGGGGGACAGATCTGAGGGCCCCTTTGCTCCTTAACAACCAGCTACAAAAAAATTATTTAACTATAGTGTGCCTGCCAAGTCATATTATTACACATTATCACGTATTCAAATGATCACATGTCTATGATGTCATCGATTTACACAGCATTTCAAGCACCCAGCTTTTCCATGAGGATCAGTAAACGTCACTCACACCTCCAGGAAGTGTCAGAAGCCAGGACCAAGAAAAAAATAATCTTTTATATATATATTTCTTTTTTTTTTAATTATTATTATTATTTTTTTTAAACTTAATTTACAGGGCAGTAAAGTGGACCTTTAGGCATTACAGATCTTAGTGATGTGTGGTATTGAAATATTTTTCAGGAAAATGACTGTGAGATAAAATAAGGAGAGGTGTTGAAATAACTCATCCCCTCTTATTGGGTTGAGCAGATTAGGTCTCCTCTGGTCCTCTCTGGTTGCTGCTCCTTGTGTTTAAGGGAAGACTTTGTACTGGAGGGTGATAACCTTTCCTCCAACACAGCAAATTGTAGACGTATCTCTTACACTCGGAGAATGTAAAATAATAGATAAGAGGATCCAGACAACAGTTGATGCTGCTGATACTGACACAGAGGATGTAGGGAATATACAGAGAGCGATCATAATTCTCAAACACCTTCACATAGTTAATTAAATAGATGACATTAGTTGGGCCAAAACAAAGGACAAACACACTCAGCACAACCACGGAGAGGCAGATAGCTCGTGATCTCTTATGTGTGCGATCAAATATTGATCTACTGAGACTGCGGATGATTCCAATGTAACAGAAAGTTGTAATGAATAATGGTAAGAAAAAGAAAAGTGAGATAAGAGAGATGAAATAGTAAAAATAGAACTTAAGATCTTTACCAAAGTACTGAATATCATGACATAATGTGATATTTAGGTTAGAAAATTTCCAGGCTTGATCTGTTATGAGAAGAGGCACAGTACTGACCAATGAGATGACCCAGATGACACCACACACCCACCAGGCTCGGGTCACTGTGCGCCAGGAGAGAGACCGCACCGGGTAGACTACGGCCAGGAAACGGTCCACGCTGATACTTGTCATGAGCAGCATGGAGCAGTACATGTTACAGTAAAATGCTACGGTGACAAAGCGACACATTCCTTCTCCAATGAGCCAGTTAGATCCCAAGAATCGGTAGGCAATATAAAAAGGTAGGATGCTAACAAAGAGGACATCTGCAGTGGCGAGGTTCAGCATGTAGACCACTGCCGGCTTCCTGACCTTCATCTTCACCAGGAACATGACGATCGCCATGATATTGAGAGGAAAAGCCACCAGGAACACAACAGTATAGATTGATGGGGCAAGCCTGGTCACAATCCAATGTGTGAATGCAGTACTGAAGTAATTATCTGAGATAAGAAAAGTAAAACACAATTTTAGCATAAATAAATAAACCAGATATGTTTATCTTTTCTTTAAAGGATAACTCCACCTTAAGCATCAAAATTATTAGATAATTAAAGCATAAAGAAAAAAAAAAACACAGAAGAATTTAGACTTGCCTGTAACTTCCATATTTTAGAGTACAGTACAAGATACAGGCTACTTATTCATTTACCATGGGTTATTGGCTCATATCTTCAGGTGATTTGACACTGGCAGACTTTTGAGGCTGTGAGTCCCTCAGCCCCTACTCTGTGAGTCCTCAGTTATGTAGAGCATCATGGAGAGTTGGGGGGGGGGGGCTGTGCCCTATACTGTATTCCAAATTTTTAGGTAAGTCACAATTTCTATGATCTTAATCATACAGTATAGGACACAGGCAACTTATTGAGACACAATGGGTCATCCCAAAAGCAATAAATAAAAGGGTGAGCAACAACTAGGCAACCAAAGCCCCAAAAAACAATAGGGGTAAATTGCAAAATGCTGCTACAATAACCTTGTGGTCAAAAGTTGCATTAGCACATTGGACATTAATCTGGTAAAACTTTGAAAAGTATGAGCAGAAGGTAAGTCAGCTGCATTACAGAGTTGGGCAACAGAATGTTGGTGCCTAAAGGCCCAAGATACTCTAAAGATATGTACTGGAGGGTGCATGTTTTAGAATATATGCTTTTGTAATCATAATTAACAAACTGAAAGAGGACACTGCAAACTGCACAAATCACTGATGTGGTGGGTAAATAGGAACATATGGACAGGCATCTTGGATGTCCATAGATGCCATGTGTTCCCCTTGTTTCAAAGGCAAATACTGCACTTTCAGATTCCATGCAAAATATTAGAATGTGAGGGGATTTTTTGAGGATTTACCAGTCCAGGATAGAATAGATACCTCAATTGGACTTTGGTACCATGAAGAGGTTTGATTTAAACCTGTCCTGTGTTAGTACTGGTAGAACTACTCCCTGGGACAAGAGGTGTTCAAGCCCTTCTGCAAATAAGATTGTACTTTATTAATTTCAAAGATGAAAGCACTGAGGTGATAGTTTTGAACTCTATCCTTTATTCTTTTGAAAGTATCAATTGAACCCATAGGTCTGAGTCATCTGTGATCCAGAGGGATGCAAACTGTAACAGATGTCCCCTCACTCTTAGGAGTAAAGGCTCCTCTTCATTGTGCAAAGGGCTTTGGAGAGGGTTTGGTGGCCTTTGTGGCCTTTGTGGCCTTTGTGGGCCAAGCCTTGTGCAGAAAGGAAGGGCTAAACTTAAGACAAAAATAAAAATGATGGTTAGCACTTGCCTTAGTAACAAAAATTAAGCTTCATCCCTCTGCGTTGGCTGGTTAATAGGTTATGAGTGACACTCCATTTTCATGGCATAGCATTGAAAACAAATATCTGTCTTGGTAAAAAATTAGAGTGTCAGCCTTTGCATATATATGGGTATCATGTGTCATGTAACACTGCCATGGTACCACATTTGGAAGTCAGCACCAACAAACCTTAAAAGTCAAGCTGAAGGCACTTGAAGGTGTCTTTAAAAAGAAATATAATATTTTAAAATTTTACCTTTAAAATTTTGAAAATTCATCTCTTTTGTCTTTTTACAGGACATGGCTAGGTTGACGCTGGGATTGGTGGCCAACACCATTCATTTATAAGTCAGAAACATCTTCTCTTCCAGCTTCATTGAGTGCCCATGTGTCCTCTTAAGCGACCTGAGACTGAATAGTTTTCTCCCTATGATAGAATCACCTTTGAGATATTTGATTATCAGTATCATATCTCTTTAATGCTTGTACAGTAGTTGTTCCTCATACCTGAGGTCCTCCAGTCCCCTTATTAGCTTTGTTGCCCTTCTCTGGACACTACAGTTCCAGCTTATTCTTCCTGAGGATTGGTGACCAGAACTGGATGGCATATTCAAGATGTGACCAGACTAGAATTTTTCAATGTGGTAGAATTATAGTTGTATGTCTAGAGTAAATACCCTTTTAATGCATGCTTATATTCTTCTAGCTTTGTTTGCTGCAGTTTGGCATTGCATGGTTTTGCTGAGACTATGATCTACTAGGACCCCCAGATCTTTTTCCATCTTAGATTCTTGCATTAAACCTCATTTGCCATGTAGTTGCTCACCCCATACGTTTCTATATACTACTGTGGTAGAAAGAGTCAGCAGAAAAAGGGCCCACAGGTAGTTAGTTTGGTAGAGGCGCCCGAAGTGGTTGTTCAAAGGATAGGCACGAGTTGTCTGCTTTAGTAAAACATCAAATTACTTTGCTTCACTGAGTAAAATGGATGACAAAACTTACTACCAGAAACTGTCATATAATCCACTGAAAGATCACCTGAAGGAATATGACCTTCTTTTAAACAGGGCATTTAATAACCACATTATCAGAAAAACTGAAAAAGACTTCCTGGGGGACGATGGCGGAGGTGTGATCTCTGAGCTCCGCTCATTCCCAGCCAGAACGGACTCACCCGATACACGCCACCGCCTCTTCAACTATAAGGGTGAGTCACACCCATCTGGCACCTGGCCCGGCACCAGGGAGAGACCCGCTCCCTTGGTTCCAGAAGCAGATTGGCGAATGGACAGAGCTCATCGCTCCTTAGGCCCAAAACCTGTCGAAGGCACTAGACCACGCAATGTCATAGTTCGCTTCCATTTTTTTCAAAGCAAAGAAGCCTTATTATCAGCTGTTCGCCACAAATCATCTCTGGAATTTAAAGGTGACAGACTCAACTCTTCTGCGACCTGTCCCCTATTACCCTGGCCAAACGGCGAGCCCTGAAGCCGATCACCACACACCTTCAACAACACCGTGTCCCTTACCGGTGGGGGTTTCCCTTTCGGCTGGTCGTAACTAGGGACAATACCCAAGTTGTGCTCCGTGATCTTCATGAGGCGGATTATTTCTTAAAGCGCCTGGGACTTCCACCTTTGTCAGAAGATGTGTCCCCACTGCCACCAACTCCATCCCGCCCATCCGCCACCCCCACTAAGATCTGGACTCCAGTCCGTGGAGGTCGGAGGAAACTTTCAAGTACCCCACAATGTCCACGTCTCCCTCGGTCATCCCCCTGCTTGACAATTTTCTGGGGTGACCTGATGTGGATCCTGTGATGATCCTTCCCTCCTGGTTCTCACATTATTTTTTTTACGGGTTTCTCCCCCCCCCCCCTTTTTTTGTTTTTTGTTTTTGGCCGGCCGAACCATTGTTGGGTGCATTCTCTGCTTTTGCTTTTTTCTGGCCGGGTTTGACGGCTTCCTGATGTCTTGGTTGTCGTGCTGCTTCCGATTCTGTCTAGCCATAGGCCTAGACGACTTGGGCCAAATTGTTGCTCCCAAGTTTATATCCTTGCGGATACTTATGTTAATTACTATGTCTATACTTTCATGTGTTATTTTACTGTTTCTTGTTTTCTGTTCTATCACATCGATGGTATTTTATTAATTTTATATGCTAATACATGCGCTTCAATCATTGTTATTTCATAATGGCTTTGAGGTTTCTGTCATATAATGTCAAGGGCCTCAACTCCATTCAAAAAACGGTGGATGGCTTTGAAGGAATTTTGATCCTCAGGAGCAGACATTATTTTTGTCCAAGAGACCCATTTCAAATCAACTGGCTTCTTCCGATTTGCCTCGAGATTTTTTTCCCAAGTCTTTTCGGCCTTTGACCCTTCCGGGAAGGCTGGGGTGGCAATTTTGATTGGGTCACGCTGCTCCCTTAGGGTTGTCTCCTCCAAAGTTGATCAACAGGGTCGCTTCATTATTTTGGAATGTATGCTTGGTGACACTCCCCTTGTTCTGTTGAATTTATACACCCCAAATACAGGTCAATTACAATTCCTTTCCCAAACACTCGCCGACCTAGATTCCATTTCCACTTTGCATGTGATTGTTAGGGGTGATTTTAATTTGATTTTTTTTTTCCCCCCATAAAGACAGGAAAGTTCTTTTTGAGTCCACACCCTCAAGGCGACAATGCTCCTCTTCAAAATCTTTTCGTAGACTAATAAGGGAGCATCGTCTCTTTGACGCTTGGCAGATTAAACACCCCCTTCATAAACAAATCACTTTCTACTCCACCCCTCACTGTAGCTTCTCCCGCCTAGATCATTTTTTCATCTCTGCCCCATTGCTTCCACTCCTGGTCTCCTCTGAAATCAATCCCATTACCTGGTCTGACCACGCCTCTTTGACTTTAAACCTTTTCTTTCCTCCTGTTATACCCAAACCATGTCATTGGCACCTTAACGAGACTTTTCTCTCCACAGACCATCTTAGGGATGAACTGTCTCGGGGACTCGACGCCTATTTTACCCACAATGTTGGCTCCGTAGCTTCTTCTTCAACTCTGTGGGAGGCCCACAAGGTGGTATTTTGAGGACTCTGTATTTCTATGGGTTCCCGTTTAAAAAAGTCCTCGGCGAGCGCTACAGCCTCTCTTATACATCAACTATCTTTGGCGGAACGACAGTTGTTGACCAAGCCGTCCATTTCTGGGCTCCAGAGGGTAACATCTCTACGTGACCGAATTAAAGTTCTCGACTCCAGTAAGGCTGCACAATCCCTCCTATGGGTTAAGCAGAAATTTTATGAATTTTCTAACAAACCCCATCGTATGTTAGTCAATCGACTCAAAGCTCAGTCTCCTTCTACGATCCCCGATCTTATAATTCAACCAAATGGAAGCCCTACCTATGATCCTCAGGTCATGGCAACACTTTTCGGCTCATACTATGAGAAACTGTATAACTGTCTGACCCCAGACCTTTCACCCGCCCCTCACAAAGTTATCTTTTGATAATTTTTTTGACCCTTTGTCACTCCCGAGACTATCTCCCTCAGACATTGCCACCCTTAATGCTGACATTACGATAGAGGAATTACTTGACACAATTAAACATCTCCCCTCTCGTAAAGCCCCGGGACCGGACGGATTGCCCTACTCCTATTATAAATCCTTTATTGGTATCCTGGCCCCTCATCTCCTCTCCCTCTATCGAGATCTTTTTAAGGGGGTCACACTCCAGACTGAATTCTCCCGTGCATATATCTTGGTTATCCCTAAACCCGATAAAGATCACTCTATTGTAGACAATTACCGCCCCATTGCCCTACTTAATTCCGATTACAAGATTTTCACTAAAATGTTGGCCAACCGACTGTCCAGAATTATTTCCAAACTCATACATAGGGACCAAGTAGGCTTTGTACCTGCCAGACATGCTGCAGATAATACCAGGAGATCCATTGATCTAGTTGACTTGGTTAACCGATCCTCCA